TTGCACCTGCCTCACAAGCTCAAGGTCCTGAGTTCGATCGCTGGTACTGGAAAAAAAAAAGAAAAAAAATGAGGACAGCATGACAAACTATTGTGGCTTCCTAAATATTTAAGATGATATACTCTTGGAACAGTTTATAATCCAATATATGGTGGAAAATGTATCAGTGCTCAGTTATTCAAGATCAAACTCCTTTGGTTAAATAGAAGTAATGCTGAATGTTTATGATTTTGAAAAATTTAATGAAACTTTTGCTTTAGAGGACACTTAATATGTTGAAATTAAATTATTGATTAGTTGCATGACAAATTATGTTATTGTTGGTTTTTTTTTTTGGTACCAGGGATCGAACTCGGGACCTTGCGCTTGCAAGGCAGGCACCGGAACCACTGAGCTAAATCCCCAGCTGCATGACAAATTATGAAAGGAAGCTTCTTGAAATTTTATGCTTTACAAATATATTTAATTGAAAAAATAAAAGACCAAATATGTTTAATCAAGCAATATGCTCAAAAATATTGGTACTAAAAGTGTATCCCCATAGCATCAAGCAATAAAGAAAGTGCTACACTAAAGCAAAAGATTACACATAAGCATGCTATTGGTAAATATCTATTGGAATAGGAGTATCCCTTTTGGCTGCCAATAATAATAAAAGACCAGCAGTTACATTGAATTTTTTGTGACTTTCTTTTGGAGATACTTAAGTAATTATGAGACAGAAAGTAGAAAATGTAAAGAAAAATAGAAGAGAACGAGTAGAATTAATTAGAAGTGCTGAATGGCAAATAATATAAAAACAACAGTGAGAAGCTAGAATTCTTCTAGAAGAACAACAGCTAACTATTCTACAGAGACCATATCCTTTGAAACAAAACACTTGGTTAATGGAACATAGTATTTAAAATTAAATATGTCCCAAAACTTTTTCATGCCTCAGTGTCACAGGATGTAACTCATCTCTGCTTTGTGTGATTCTGCAATTCATTGGATCATGAAAGTACAGTTAAGAAATTTCCTTTTATAATAATTTGCAACTGAAATACATGATACATTTTGATCCATTAAAGATTAGTGGGAATGTATCAACCAGAGAAGCAAATAATTTTTGTTTTATAAAGCAGAGTATCTGTCATTTTTCGTGAAAGTAGTATTAAAAATTCTGTCAAACAATTTTTTTTTTTCCAGTACCGGGGATCAAACTCGGGTCCTTGCACTTGCGCAGCAGGCGGTGAAACCACTGAGCTAAATCCCCGGCCCCCTGCCAAACAATTTTTATCTGTTTGTATATCCCACTATAGATTATGTACAAGTAACATCTAAATAAAATCACACTTTTAACCTTAAAAAGAAAAAGAAATTTTCCTACTATATTGGTAAGTTGAGGTGGATAAGGCAGTGGTTATAGTGAGATTCATTAAAAGAAAAGATTTTAGAGTTTAGAGTTTTAAACAGTTGTCTAAGAGATCTTAATATCACAACGTTCTCAGGTTGTTCATTGCCTTCAAAGAGCTTACAATTAATGAAACTTTTCTCAAAGATGCTTAGTACCAAGTTTTTATTTAAGGATAGATTGAGTCTTTGCCTATGTTAATTTAATCACAAATATTTTTAATTATAGAGTTCATGGACCTTTTTTTCCAAGAATTCTGCGACGTAGGAAAGGAAAAAGAGACTTTGGAGAAACTGTAACACATATTGTAGCAAAAGTGATGACCACTGAAATGGTAAGAAATACATTTTATTTGTTAGGTTTTTAGCTGCATGTAATTAGAAAAGAAGTTCGCTGAAGGTAGAGTCTGACTTAGTAATGCCTTGTTTCCTGTATTATACCCAGCTCAGTGATTGGCAGATAGGTACTAAATAAATAAATGCTGACAGCTATTTACTGAGTCCTAGACTTATTGGCAGGTACTGTGCTAGTTGCCATGGTAAGGATGAGACACAAATGAGAGAAATACTGCATTTGGGGAAAAATACAGCATTACACCAGGTCCACTCTTTATTCTTCATGTACTTGACAATTTTCAAGTACTATATGGTGCAGTTGTGGTCAAGTAAATAGGCAATCACAGTTATAAGAATGATAAATGCTATATGATAGGGATGTGTACAAGGGCACGTAGAATAGGTACATGAGACAAAATCAGGAAGCTAACAGATGAACGTAAAATTAGCCAGTTCAAGAACGAAAAATGTGCTAAGGCAAAAAGTAAACATTTCCATGTTACTTGACCCATTAATGACATTTTACAGATCTGTCTTTGAAATATTTGAAATATTTTCTTTTTTTGTTTTTGTTTTTTAATACCAGAAATTGAACTCCAGTCCTTACTCATGCCAACCAAGCACTGTGCCACTGAGCTATATTCCCAGCTTGGTTCCTTTATTTTGTGTTACGATACTTTCATGGTTTTTACTCTTTCAAGTTGTTTTTCTCTCCTTAGATATTCTTTCTGGTTTTTGTTTTTTGAGATGGGGGTCTCACTATGTAGTTCATACTGGTCTTGAACTCCTTATGTCACCTAGGCTGGCCTCGAACTCACAGCAATCCTCCAGCCTTCCCAGTGCTGAGACGACAGGCATGTGCCACCATGCTCTTTGCGACACCACCTGGCTTTTTGGGTCTTCTTAATGCTTAGTACTTGTCTTTTTCTTAAATTGTATTTTTTGTAAGTGATTTATCATTCTTCTCCCATAATATCACTTATATATATAGTAAAACTTTGGATTGCAAATAATCTGTTCTGTGAGTGTTCTGCAAGAGGAGCAAACATTTCTAATAAATTTTAATTTGATAAACGAGCAATGTCTTGCAATACAAATACTTTGTGATGCCAAACATAACATGATCACAACTAAACCAGTGGTTCTTCTCTCCTTCCCCTTCTTCTGAGTGATTGTGGGTGATCATCTCCCAACAGCAAGAGATTGTGGAAGACATCTCCTCCACAGAGGAGGAGGTGAAAAAGGCAGAAGAAGTGCAAGCACTTCTTTTTTTTCCTCAGTACTGGGGATCGAGCTCAGGACCTTGTACTTGCAAGGCAGGCGTGACACCACTGAGCTAAATCCCCAGCCCTAATCCTGCACTTCTTGTGAGATTAGAGAAATGTGTAAAATGTGGGAAGCAGCGAAAATTTTGTAGAAAAGCACCACCCAAATAAGTCTGTACAGGGTAAGCAATGAATCTGTTTAATGACGATGCAGTGTCACATTTCCACAGAATCCTCAAAAGGAGGCAAATGCAAGTATCACTGGATAGGTTCCTTGTTAAAGTTGAATGAAAAGAAAAAGATTCTGGCCAGACATGATGCCACACGCCTGTAATACTGGCACTCAGGAGACTGAGGCAGGAGGATTGCTGCCAGTTCAAACTACATAGTGAGTTCAAGGCTAGCCTAAACTACACAGCAAGACCCAGTGTCAAAACAAAACAAAACAAAACAAGATTCCATTGAGCCAATAGACAGCAATGATTCTGTTAGTGATAGTGAAAGTTGTCCTATACAGTAATCCTCCTCTCTCTTGTCTGCCTCATACCAGCCACAAAGGCTTTCAAAAGTAAGTGCAGGTTAATTTCTTTTATTTGTATTTTGTATTTTCTTTATTATCCTGTATTATATTACAGTATTGTAGTCATTTTTGTATGAATATTTTTGGGTTGTCGAATGAATCATCTGAGTTTCCATTATTTCTTATGGAGAAATTCACTTTGATGTGCAAGTGCTTTGGATTACAGGCATGTTTCTGGAACAAATTACACTCACAAACCAAAGTTTTACTGTTCTTATAATCCAAAGTGTATATCTACAGAGCAGGCTTTTGTTCTCAGCCCCAGCCCTGTAAGTCCAGCTGCTTATTGCTTATCACCACTTCACTGTCTCAGAGTACTTCAACTCACACATCTGTAATTAAACTCATGATCTTATCCACTGACTTGCTTATATTCTAGAGTTCCCTGTTTTAGTAATGGCACCAACAGCTAGTTAGTGGCTAATTACAGTTTTGTGGGAGTTGTCTTAATATCCCTTTATTGCTTTCCTACACACACTTTTCTCCCGTACTAGCATTACATCCTTATATTAGCTGAGTTTCCTTTGTGTGTCGTCACTGTTCATCAAATTTTAGTTTAAATAACATTTACACAGGCGAAGACCTTCTCAACCTGCCAGAATATGTTAGACTTTTATGTACATTTATAGCTCACTGCGCTTTTCCTTACTGGCACTTTCCCTTATGATAGTAGTAATGCTTGTGGCTACCTTTGGAATGTCTGTCTCTTTACTAGTATATGAGCTTAAGCTTCTTGAGAGCAAAGAAATTTGTATTTACCACTCATCCAATCACCAGGCATGATGCTTAGCCTGTGATAGGTGCCCAGCAGTTTTGGTTGAGTCAATAAATGAGTGTATGTGTAACAAATCAGTACATATGAAGAACTAAAGGAAGTCCATCAAGGCTGGTGTTTAATACCTAAGAGAAGAGCATGAAAGAGAAAGCTGTCTTATTAGAGTGGTGTCTGCTATCTGACCTACCCCTGTATCTATTATTTTCACAAAGCCTGTTTACCCTCCATCTCCTCCTCCATCCTGGGCCAGGGATTGAGCCCAGGGCCTTATACTGTACATAGTAAGCAAGCATCGTACTACTCAGCCATATCCCCAGCCTTAATTTACTTTTTAATTTCTCATTGAGTCAAATTCTTCAATGCTAATTATCCCACCAACATATTTATAAACATCTATGAAAAACCTCTTTATAAGAAGTATAGATTTTGCTTTTATCCTCAGCCTTGTCATTTTTATTTTTACTTCTCATTTTTTAAAATGTGGTCTGGCTTTATTTTCTTAATTTTCCTGTAGTATAAAAGTAAGAAATTTCTTTGATTTTTATCCAAAACTGGCTTTGCAATTCTGTCTTAATTTATAATTAAGTGTGCTTGAATTATTGTGAGAAGGGAGCATTATCAAATGCAACTTTACTTAAACCTTTAATTTGAGATTTACATTTGAGATTGACAAAATATTTTATTTTGATAGTTTGTCATAGCTATGCATATTGCCTTTAATAACTTTCACAACTTGGAAGACTCATTCCTCATAATTTTGCTCAGTACCCTTCCCTTAAGCTGTTTGACCCATGCTCATCAGTTTTATATTGAGGTCATCACAAGTTGTAAGTGGAAGGACATGGACTTTGCATTCAGCCTAATGTTCAAATAACCTGGCTTGGGCCATTTAAAATCCATGTAGTCTTGGGCAGGCTGTATAACCTGTATAAACTTCAGTCTTCTTATTTGTAACATTCTTAAAAAGAGAGAGATAAAAATTATATACTGTCCTGGTTAAGAGCATGGGCTCTAAATCCAACCTGCCTAGATTCCTGGTTTTGCCTTATTATTTATGCGATTTTCAACAAGTTATTTAATTCATTTGTGCTTTAGTTCTTCACATGTAAAATAGGGATAATAGTACTATGTACCATACAGAGTTGTTGTGAAGATAAAGTGACTTGTTATCTGTGATATAGTTAGAAAAAATCTTAGCACATAGTAAGTACTCAGTAAGTGTTTGCTGCTTGTTTCAGTGTGTGATTAGTTGAACATGTGACATTCTCCCAGGTTTGGGAGAAACTGGTATCTTCATTGTGCACTGCAGGCTACTGTGGTGGTCCTTCTTTAAGTCTGGAGACAGTACAATGTGGTAGTGAAGATCATAGGAATTGCTTTTTCTTTTTTTCTCACCTCACTATGTTCATCAGCCTCAGCCTCCCAAAGTATCTGGGAGTACAGGTGCCCAGCTGTAACATTTCAAAATTAGCCAGGTGTGATGACATACACTTATAATCCCAGCACTGGGGAGGCTGAGGCAAGAGGATTGCTGCAAGTTTGAGGCCAGCCTGGGCCACATAGTGAGTTCAAATCCAGCCTGCCCTACAAATCAAGAGCTTGTCTCAAAAACAAACAAACAAAACAAAACAACAAAAAAATAATAAAAATCTGAGTTTCAATCACCATTTTGCTTCTTAATATTTGTACTTCCAAATCTGTACAAGAGAATAATGAAATCTATCCCGTAGAGTGTTCAGCTTAAATAATTTATATAAAACTTTTAACAAAATGCCTCACACATAAGTGTCAACTGATATTATTAGTGTTTGGTATTTTTTTTTTTCCCATTAAGTTTATTAGTACATTTTAGGTATAAAATACAGTTACATTCATCATTGGGATCTTG